TTAAAACCATTCTTAAATAGAAGTCCAGTAGAGACTAAATTCTTCCTAATCTCGGGAACATGAAGGACGTTGTTCAAAGTCACCACTTTGCCGGAAGTCATTTTGAGAAATATCTTCCCACATCCTTCAATCTTGGCCTTTGCAACATTTCCCATAGCAAGCGTCTCATCAGGTCCAATAGGAGCATAAGTAGCAAAAGCTTCTCTAACAGCACAAACATGGCGAGTGGCTCCAGAATCAATCCACCATTCTTTAGGATTGCCCACCAAGTTGCATTCGAAAAGCATAACACATAAGTCATCGACATCATCATGCTTTTCAACCATGTTTGCTTGACCCTTCTTCTTGTCTTTCTTCAGAGCACGACACTCCGTAGATTTGTGTCTGATTTTTTCACAATTGTAGCAATTTCCACTGAACCGCTTCTTGCTTGGGTTGTATTTCGGTCCAGAGGCCTTCTTTCTCTTTTTGTTCTCTTCAACAATATTTTCTCCCATTATTGTTGAGTTTCCACGGCCTTTTTTTCAGCAGTTTTGTTGTCCTCTTCGATTCTCAACCGAACAATGAGATCTTCGAGGGACATCTCCTTGTGTTTATGTTTCAAGTAGTTTTTGAAGTCCTTCCACAAAGGAGGCAACTTCTCAATCATCGTTGCTACTTGGAATACTTCATTGATGACAAGACCTTTAATGAATTTCTGTTAGTAAAAATACTAAGATTACTTCTTTCAACATCAATATTAATTTGATTTATACCTTCAGCAAAGAGATCGTGAATATCACTTCAATTCCTGGACTTGGATAATAATAGACTTTTTATCTACCATTTTGTAGTCCAAAAACTTTGCAGCAACGAACTTCTTCAACCCGACATCTTCGATTTTGTATTTCTTTTCAAGCGCAGTCCACAGTTCTTTTGACGTTTCCACGCCACTGTAGACGTTATACAAAGCATCCTCTAGCCCGCTTAGAATATAATTCTTGCAGAAAAAATCTGAATGCTTCCACGCCTCAATCACGATAAAGCGTTCAGTTTCTGGAGTTTCATCAGACAACACATGAACATCTTCCTTGATGAACTTCTGGAGACTTAGAGTAGTCAAGTAGAAGAACATTTTTTGCTGTCAGCGCTTGAAAACAATCCCGGAAAATTTTTCGGGTTTCTCCGCCGGTGCCAATGCTGCCGGTGTTGTTCGGCTCGTTGAGGCATTGGCAGTCACCATTGGAACAACTTGGTTCACATTATCATTAGTCATTTCCGTAAAAGAATGACACAAACATTAAAATCACGTAGATTTTAATCTCCAATAGAGTACAAAAGCACAAAGGTTTTACTCTCCAGAAACAGTAAGTACAAATACAAAATACAGAATTAAATTCCTTAAGCTTGTTAATAAATTGTATTTGTAAAATAATTCTGGAAAATATAAATGAACATAAACAGAATTTTAATCCTAGCTCACTGAATTGACAGTGTTTCCTTAAGGAATTTAATCCCCTCCTAGTACCCAAGGTTGTGGATTATTTCCTTCCAGGATAGAACGAATTACACACTGGTGTAGTGGTACTTCAAACCTCAGTGTTTCAGCGAACACAAAGTTCGGTACCAAATCACACTTACTGTTGCTTTGTTTGATGTTAAAAGTATGCAGAAGGAGGAGGAGAAACTCAGAAAGTTGTATTGAAATTCTGAGCAGAATAGTCTTGTATTTATAGCCAAATTGGACTGAAATCTGAAGAGGTGCAACTCTCAACAATAAAGAGGGAAAATTGAATAGGGTAGTTTAATTTTAAGTTACACAACTGAAAAACAGATTGAATTTAATATTAATATTTATTTTAATATTAATATTCAATTATTAAAATAAATATTTAATAACATTTCTGTTAATATTTTATTATTAACAAAATTCGAAGCCGAGTCAAGCGATGACGACGGCGGCGCGAGGCTTGCCTTCTTCTCAACTCTTTAAGAGCTAGAAGAAGAGCAATTGCTTATATACCCATAAAAAACCTCTTCCTCTTCCAATATGGGACAATGTCCCTTTGCCAAGGGGAAAACTTAAAATTTCACTTAAAATTTTCATTTCCCTCCATTTTCCATTCACCCTATTTTAAGCATATCATATACTTAAAAATCCCAACACAAAGTTGGGTAGAAACAAACATGATCCTGTCCTCTTGCTTCTTGGCTTTATAACTCTAAATTGGAATCTCCATATTGAAAGATGATTTTCATATATACGTATACAATTTCTTCCATACGAGGATCTCTTAATTGAGCGTTGAGTGACAATTGTAGGTGAATTGAATATATCCGTGAGCACACACAACAAATATAAAAAACTCATGCTTCTCTAGGAATCAAATAGTTCTAAGAATCTTTTTGTTAGCAAAATTGGTTATTACAATTTCTTTCTTGAGTTTTAGTGACAATTGTGATTGTATTATATATATATATTCATGAACACATACCACAAATACGAAAAAAAAAAATCAAGAATATGCATGCTTCTTTATGGAATCAAATAGTCCTAAGAATCTTTTGGTCTGCAAAACTGGATAACTTTTACACAAAAGTCCAATAAAAAACACTCTTAATCATGGAATCCGTGTAAGGCTGGTCCTCTTCTTCCCCTCAAAAGTAAGAATATTGAAATAAAAGGAATCTCTTGATAGAAGCAAACATCAGTACGAAAAGTAGACCCCGAAAGTTCGGGATATTTGGAAGCTATTGACTATATATGAAGAAACTTTTGGTAACTTCATTTGAATCGTCAGGCTTCGTGGGATAGCTTGATTTGTTGTATATGGTGGCTATTTTATCTGTCTCCTTAGCATGGTGTTTACTCTATTGCGTTATGATCCACAGGCTAAGATTTACCTAGTTCGTTGATTAACAGAAAAGGACTAGCTTATATATATTGGGTTTTTAACTGCCGCTAACTAAATGTATATAAAAAATATATTGGTCATATATAAAATACATATTATATGTATATTATATATTAATATATAAAAATATATATTTTTCGATTACTATTTTAAGGACAACTATATTGTGTAGATTTAAACGGGTATTCAACAACTTTAGCTATTTTTTAAAGTATAGTATTAAGGAAAAGGAGAATCTTTCTTTAAATGAAAATATTTTCTCCATTTCAATTTATGAGGCAATATTTGATTAGGTATGGAATTTAGAAAAAAATTAAAGAATTTTAAACTTACGATCATATATTAACATAATATTTGTGTGGCTATAATATTTTTAAAAGTTGTGATCATAAGTATTTTATAAAATTTATTTGGTTATAAAAGTTTCTCGTTGGTGAATTGAAAATTTAAGTTAAAATATTTTCAAACCTATAAATTTATTTTTTAAAACGAACTAAAAAGAAAATATTATCATATATACTGAAATAGAGGATTGATAAAGAATAATATTTTGATCAGGAGACTTGATAGCACACTACCTAGACTAGAAGAAATATATACAATTGATGTGGGACTCTCAAGTCTTAGGTCATCAGAAAATGAGGTGCACGAAATGGAAATGGCGGCCATTTCGTTTTCATATGATGCATAATAAAGGCAGGACTAATTTGTCATAATGACTTCCGTATTACCTCATCGTAATACTTATTGTAAATAGATGGTTATAAATACTTCATATGTTATTTCACCTGTCAATTAATCGTCTGAGGACGAAAAAATGGAAAACAAAGGAAAATAAAGAGAGAGAAGAAGCGGCCGGATTGGATATATATTTATGTCCTACTAACAATGTAAAGATTATTTACACTATTTGTATAGTCTAAATTGTGATGCTAGGTTAAATTATCGATTACTAATTGATGTTTATTATATAAATTTATTCACAATGAATTTACAAGTGAGTTCATTGTGTAAATAGTTTTTAACATTTAAACTCAATTGAACTTAAACTCAAGTGTCCAAAAGTCCAAAATTATAGGCTTGATACCTGTAATTATTTTTTTGGTTGCTTGAATACATATGGCTGTGGTTCATATCCGAATTTTGCAACTAATAGGAAAATCCTTTATGGTGCAAAATTAGGTCACGTAAAAGTGAACTTTGTAATTCATATTTCTTGTGAAAGATATTTACCAAAAATCTAAAACCATCCCAGATGATGCTTGCAAACTCTCTCTCTCTACTTAAGCAATTATGTCCAAATCATTTTTAGTTTTTGGTCACATGAGGATTTGCTTAGAATATAAAGGGAAATTCGAGCATTTGTTTAATATATAAAGGAATTTTACAGATGGGCTATTGAGTGAAATAGAAGGTTTTTGGTTAAAATGAGTTTGAATTTAATATTTCTCATTTTTTTCTTAATAATCAGGTGTCACGTTATGAAAAATTGGTTGAATATCTTACTTTCCGGCTTGAGTGACTTTTTAAGTGAAATAGCAAAAGATAAGTGACTTTTCCGATACAAAAGAAAGAAATGTGACTTTTTGAAGCAAATATCAAAAGATAAATGATGTTCTGATACAAATATATATATAAAAAGAGAGAGAAAAATGTTCACCTAATAAATTAAGTGAATCGTGTAAGCAAATGATCTCAAGACTTTTGTATGGACTTGAAGTGTGCTACTTGTACATCATGCTCATTTATAATTTTAAATTTAAGAAAATGACCATTTCAAATCTCTTATATGTAAAGGACATATCTCTTACGTGTAAAAATAATATTTTTCTGTGTAAAAAAAGAGGCAGGGTCAAAAAAATAAAAATAAAACAAATTTGTAAAGATCCATAAAGCTAATATTTTGAATTATATTAATAATGTAAGAAAAGTTATATATCAATGCATATAAGTTAAATCTGACTTGTTAACCTTCTACGAGTCAAATTTGGATATGGTGCGATGTCAAGATTGGGCCTCGTGGAATTCTGAGCCCAAATTCAGACCCTAAACCCAATTGATATCGGACTCTAACCCCAACTTCAAATACCGCCATATACTCTCTCATGGATACAAACTCGCTCTTTTTTCACTTTCTCTCCGGCGAAATCCCTGCACTTCTCTTTCTTCTGCAAAAACATCATCACTGTAAGTTCTATTTCTTTTTCATGTTAATCTCTTTTCCCGTCTGAGTTCTTACGAGGTCTTTTTTGTTAAATTATGATATGTATGTGTTCGATTCTATGATCATCATCAAATTCATGTGAAAAATTATCCAACTAGGTGTTTCTATGAATGGAGAAAAGTGTTTTTATGTAAAAATTGTTGCGACCAATTTTAATCCGTTTCTCTGTAAGGTTCTTTGGGAGGCTTATTATGTAACCATGCACATGAGTCAATTTTATTGCGACTTTTAGACAATTGTACATTAGTTAATGACAAGGAATTGAAGTGTAGTTTAGGACATTGTGATATCTAACTTGGACCTGTTTCAGAATCCTGCCACAAAGGTGTACCATATACTTTTGGTCTATTGGATCATTGCTATAGTATTTCTTTTTTTCTTAACGCAATAGTTGAAGGTACGAGACTTTTATATTAGTGTAATGATGAGTGTGATGAGAGTTAAATTTAGGGACATCTAGTTTTAGAGAAATTTACATGTTGAGTATGTGAATGAAATAGACTCGGATACTGCGAAACATATATTGAAGATTCATTTAGCTGACTTTAACTGGTTTGAGATTGAGTTTTGAGGCAGGCTTGATTGATAGATTGATTGCAGGACCTGTCTAGTTTTTTCTGCAATCAGGGGCCAGGTTGTAACTAATCACGGAACCTGATTTTTAATTTTTGGATGATGGTTATATTTGGGTCTATATTGCACCTATGCCCTCCTATTATCGCTGTTAGTGCAGTTCTTGGTATACTTTGATGGATATTTTATATCGGCAAGTTGAGCAGTGCGCTTTGTGTAGAGATCCGTAGGACTGATTAACTTGGATATTCATTTGCAATACAGACTAAGCTCATGGATTTTCTTGCAACATGATTTTACTCTTAGGGATTAAGTTTCTCTCTGGTGAATTAGTACTACAATTAAACAATCTGTACAAGTTTTGATTAAGGAATTGGCCCTTTTATGAGTTTTTTTTTATTAATTCTTGGGTTATTCTGATAATGGTACTTCTATTGCCTTCGCTTTTATCGTACTTTAATTATGGTGCTAGTGCTTTCTGTTATATTTTCTTAATGTTCATATGTTATACAAACCGATCATGTCAAATTGCTGACCTGTAGCAACTTCTGTGCTTCAAGGTTGGCTTATGAAATATTAGATGATGGACAAAGTGATATCACCTATGATACGGAACATCAGTATGCTGAAAGATATCTTTCATGATTTTTAAGATGTTTGGCTAATACATGCATTTTTATGTGTTTCATAAAATGGGCTACATGTCTTATTGCACTCATGAATCAATGCTTTTATATCATGATTATTCTGCACATGCAAGATACTATTAGTTTGTTTCTCCTAATGATTTATAAGCATGGCAGCTCTGCCATGATCTTCTCTTACACTGTGCTTTCCATTGGCTGTAAACAGATAAAGTAACCTAGTACTATGGAAGCAGCTAATAACACTGATGTTATTACTGAAGCAAAACCACAAGTCATATACCGCTGCAAGAAATGTCGAAGGATTGTTGCATCAGCAGAGCAAGTTGTTCCACATGAACCTGGAGAAGGCCAAAAATGCTTCAAGTGGAAAAAGAGAAGCAACAATCCCTGGGATCAGGAGGCACCTCAATGCTCCTCTATTTTTGTTGAGCCCATGAAGTGGATGCAAGTTGGCGAGTCTCATTCCTAACTGTTCCTTTATTCCTATGAAAAATTGCTTTCCATCTTTCAAATTATTAATGTAGCTCATACTCATCTAACAGTTGAAGATGGTTGTGTTCAAGACAAGCTTCAGTGCCTGGGTTGCAAAGCACGCCTCGGTTACTTCAATTGGGCAGGCATGCAGTGCAATTGTGGAGCATGGATTAACCCCGCATTTCAGCTGCACAAGAGTCGATTAGATGAATGCCAACTTTAAGTATTTGCAGGTTTCTACTGAGGCGTGGTTAATGGTTATGTATATCGGTTAAAAACTTACAGTCTTCCTGCATATTATTAGGGTATAGCTATTTAATATTTGGAAGAAAGCAGACGGTTTTTGATTGATGATGGGGTACTCGATGTAAAGTTAATCGCAAGTAATTATAGCCTAATGGAGTTGCTAACAGTCTCATTTGTTTCTTTGAATGTGTTTTTCTAACAAAGATGGTCACTTCTCTATTTTAATCTGCCGACTACTTAATATTTTCATGCTGAAAGATCAATTAGTGAATCAAATAGCATGTAATATTCATATTTTGACTCTTCTCTTGCAGTCATTTTTACTAACGAATCTGTATTGCCAATAAAGTATTGAATGACTGTCTTGATCTCTCGCAAGTCACACTTGCCTTTTTATTCTTTTTAGTGGAATAGAAAAGGGTTAAATATGGCACTAGTTAAAGGAACCAAAAGCGAAAAGGAAAAAACACAAAGCAAAACAGAGCAAAAAGAAATATGAAATGTATTTTTCCATCACTCTTTTGATCCAAATACATCTAAGATTAAATTCTTATTTAGCTCCCAATGGACCTGACCATCAAAGAAGTGTCGAGAAAAAAGCAAACAGTACATCCAAACATAAATATCGCGAATCAGAAAATAGGCATCATTTTCCTGCTTACTGGCCAGCAGCAAAAGCTTCAACTGGGAAAGTTTTGGTGATGCCAGCGAGACTCTTGAACTGAATCTTGCCAGTGGGGGGATCATCCACAGTGATCTCATTAACTGGAGGCCATAGCATTAGTTCCTTAGCCTTCACTCCCTTAAGCTTCTTGATTCTCTTCTTGTCAATGTATCCATTTATTTCAGTGTCATAACTTACCAGTTTGCTGATCAACTTGAATTTGTGTTCAACTTTTTTATTTTGCAGGATCCACATATAACCTGTGTTCTTCACGAATCCCGCTTCAATCACATCAGCAAGAGGGAGAAGCCCTGTTGGGAGTCTGAATTCTTCGAGTAGAGAAACCGCCATTTTCAAACCTTCCTCATGCCCCCTTTTCACAATTGCTCCTTCCTTCTCTGCCATGATTGCTAGCTTGGACTTCTCAATACTTTCTTCTTGAGGAAATAATGCTTGTTCTTGACGACTGTTTTGCTTCTCTGTTTGATGGGAAAGTGGGAAACTGAATTTTTATTGTGTGCTCCTATATGAAGAGACAAAATACTTGATGGACAACTCAATGTAAAGAGCATTGTACTAGTCACCAACGCTATGGTTTTCACTTGAGGCTGGTCCTAAGTTTTATCAAATTCAATTGTTCTGCCATTCTTTTCTTGTTTCATGCCGCAAATCGGCTTGGCTTAAACTAAAGAAGTAGGCCGAAATTTTGGAGTTATATGCCTATTATATGATAATTTGAAAATCTTGTACCATTATAGTACTATACTAAGAACTAGTACATGACATACATAAACAGTTAGATGGCTTACTACATACTTTACACCACAAACTTGCATGTAAATTTCTTTAACATGCCTTTTCTTTGTGGGCATCCGCCACCCTAACTTGTAAAAAGTAAAACTATTACCCTAAACTGACACGTGGTTATGAAGCCCTAAAATTTTTGTATGGTATATATTTTAAGCTATCCTTCCCTTTTTGCTTTATTTACACAGAACAAGCAACATGGCAGATCCTTTTATTTTACTTCGTTTACTATTAATTGTGAGACCAAAATTAAAGAACAAAAAAAGATTCAATGAAAGCTGTATCCGATCATGTAAACTACGAAGCAACTGCAAGCCTTTGAAATATGTTAAAACTTTTTTCATACTCAATCAGGTAGGCCATATTATGTAAGTGTGGCATTTTATATAAGATTGACATATTTAGAAAGCTACCCCAGATTAATATATTCTACCTTACAATTTCCATGAATTTTCTACACATTCTTATAACCATTCCAATTTGCTCGTCTCAGCAACGCCTTATTATTCGTGCCCTGCGAAAACTAAGAAACGACATTCAGCCCAAAGGACAAATAAGAAAAGAAAATAGTGGTGATATAATAAAAAATAAAAAGTCTTTGTTATAAATTAGGAAGAAAAGTCACGTAAACTTATACTATGATATTGATGGAATTATATAAAAGAAAAAGGAAATACTATTATTTAAAAACCCTTATCACGATAGCCACCTAATGCCCATCCTTATACACCATTGGTTGTATTATCAAGATTAAACTGAGTTTCTTGTGTTATTACATATATATAGCAAACATATTTCCCCCAAACAAGGACTTGAGTAGATGAATGGAGTCTATCAAAGCAGCAACTTCAGTGTACTTTCTCAATGACCCAGTTCTTATTATTTTCTTGAAACTTTTGTGGCCCCTCATAGCACAAGGTTTGTCTCTAAAAATTAGCAACCTAGGGTCAAACAAAAGGGTGAGAAAGGAAAGATAATATGATTGTGGGACGGATCACATTTAAAAATGCTATTTTTGGTTATCTTTATTTCTCTTTCTTATGTGTAAACGCTCCAACGAATAGATATACTCGCCTGTCCAGGTCTAGTTTTGTGTATATAAACATACACACAGACACACAAAGGCACAAACTAAAACTTAGATATTTCATCTAAGGAAGTCTACATTTGTGTTGCTCCTCTTCTCAAAAGTCACACAATATGACGGTCTGCTTCATTCTAAACTCATGCGTTTACATATAGTTTCTTTTTACGTTACTTACGTACTCATTCCCAACCCCCTCCAACAAATTAAAAGTAGAAAAGAAAGAAGAATAAATGGTAACATAATATTTAGTATCATGAGCGTGTGCGTGTAATATTTGAGACTTATCTGTGTGTGTGTATTTTTCTGTATTCCAGTGTTTCACCAATTAAATGGCGCATTGGTTTAGGTTCTGTATGTTTATATTGTAGAGAGATAAGCATGCATATGTCATATAGTGTATGCGAAAATGGAGAAAAAGATTGGTTACTAACTTTTTGCACTTCTCTTTTATCTCTCTTCTTATGTTATTTTCCTCTCCTTTTGGTGTTTATTTTCGTGGGTTATAATTGCTTAAGTGTACGGTGGCAAATAAATTTGAGCATATATAATTTGGGTTTATCTCTCTTCTTATGTTTATCATTTCAGTTTTCCACTTCAGAACTTTTAGAATGCTTTCCAAATTCTGTTTCTTTGAAATGATGTTTTCCGTATTTTGTTTCTTCACTATATATTAGAATATGAATGAGCTAGGTTGAAGACCATAGAGGAATCTATCCTGCTAATCCCTATTTACTCCTTACTAAAAATTCGAGAAGATAATTTAATATTACTAATGAGTGAATTGTTACTAGTATTCTTTTCTGTCGAGTACATGAAGTGCATTAAATAAATTAGTAAAGGTTAGTGGCTCGAAAAAAATGCAACAAAAGAAAGATAATGTACTAAGTGGCTCTTCCATTCCACTATTTCTACTTTAATGAGATGGTGTTATGCTAAAAATTCGCTTTGATAAAAAATAAAACCCTTATTTTGACAAGAGGGGTTGCTCTGATGGTAAGCAACCTCCACTTCCAACCAAGAGGTTGTGAGTTCGAGTCTCCCAAGAGCAAGGTGGAAAGTTCTTGGAGGGAAGGATGTCAATGATCTATTTGGAAACAGTCTCTCTACCTCAGGGTAGAGGTAAAGTTTGGGTACACACTTTGTACTCTACTTTGTTTTCATGATGACTTAGACATATTGCGCCGTAGCCGTTGTAAAAGAGATTTAATTATTAACGAATAAATGCTTAAAATAGGGAACGTACTGTGATTTTATCAAGGGATAGTGTAAGAGCTTTTACAATATTAGTAAATTTTAACATATGGTAGTAGACTATTTACCATTTTTAACATGTTGATAGTTAATGTTTATATAAAATTTATAATTACCTTATACGTGGCATAAAGATATACTTTCTCCGTTTCATATTAAATGAGGTACTTTCCTTTTTAGTCTGTTCCAAAACAAATGACACATTTCTAAATTTGGAAATAATTCAACTTTAAACTCTTTTATTTTACTCATTTACCCTTAATGAGAAGTTTTTATAGCCACACAAATATCATGGCCCCACAAACTTTTTACCCCTTAAACTTTTAAGACCACAAGTTTCAAAAATCTTCTTCTTTTTTCTTAAATTTCGTCCCAAGTCAAACTACCTCATATAATATGAAACGGAGGGATTAATATTTTTTACTGTAAGTGTGCAACATTAAACTCTAAATTAAGTTATCCATTATTCATTATAGATTGTGGAAATGAGAGTGCACATGGATTGTCCAGGATGCGAAAGCAAAATAAGGAAGGCTCTCAAGAAGCTTGATGGTTGGTATCTATTATCACAATCCCATTCTTTTCTTTATAATTTTTTTGACAAGACAGCCTTACTGCCTTACCCTTTGTAATGGAATTATAATAGCATATTTTATATAATGTTCTTTCCTATTAAATAATCTTCCTACAAATTTTAGTTGGAGACAACGTTTTAAATTATTATCCACCAAATAGACACCAAAGTCGTCATTCACACCACTGGTATAAGGTTTTGTGTCTCCATGCTTGGATATAAAATGGACTTTTCTCATTGTCCAATAATTCTTTAGCCTAGCTCATATATCGGAATTATTTAAACCATACATTTAAACTAATTTTCCTAATTGACTTGTTTCCACTTTAATTTGGTATTCTCAGGAGTTGATAACATTGACATAGACATGAACATGCAAAAGGTGACAGTAACAGGATGGGCAGAGCAGAAAAAAGTCCTCAAAACAGTGAGAAAAACTGGAAGGAAAGCTGAACTATGGCCATATCCATACAATTCAGAATACCATAACTACATGCACCATTATTACGACACATTCTACAGCACGCCAGCCACTTACTTCGCACACCAGCCCTCTTCTTCCTACAACTACCGCGAGCACGGCTACAATGGCCATGCTCACGGTTACTATGCAGAGCTACCTTACAATACAATCTTCGATGAACGAACCAGGCACATGTTTAGTGATGATAATGCTACTGGCTGTTCTATAATGTGATTGATCTGATTCAATTTGCTCTTTTGGGGGTTTGCAATGCTCTATTTGTTTCTATTTTTTCGGTAAATGAATCATTGCAAATTAGACTTGTTTTGGAGTTGGGTAATCTTTTTCTTTTTAGCTCCGTTGAGGTTGAGAATGTGGGGAAAACTGTGGAGCTTATGATGGAATCAAGGCCTGCTAGTTGTGTTCATTTGCTTTATGTTATCCATATTTCAACGTGTATATATATATATATATATATATATATATATATATATAGTTTGTTTATTTTTCCCTTCATTTCGTAAATTCTGTTGTTTAATTTATCTTTCCTGTCGAACATGAACATGGAAAAGAGCAAATCCCAAAACTGTCAGAATATATTAATTTACCAACGAAGGGTGGTCAATTTGAACACCCTTTGTCGAAAAATTATATTGTCTATATATAGGGCAAATATTACTTTTAATACATGTATATTAAATCTTGAATACACTTAGCAAAATTCCTCGCTTCGACACAGGTTGAAACAAGCCGGTATAAACAAATAAACCAGCAACTTTGGGACAAACATGCATTTGCAGTCATTTATAGTATCCATCAAAATAAAAAAGGATCAAGCTTTTAGCGTTTTGATGTCATTTATATATACGCTGAATTGCTTCCTGTACAACTATAAGAGCTACAAGCTAGGGGTAATTAATGAGGACGACTCAGGTTGCTTCTCTTGTTGCTTTATGTGGTCGGCCACATGAGAAATTACTCCAGCTCCAGCATTGTGAAAGAATTCGTTCTTCACCTGTCACCGGAAAATAGTGATCGAATTAACCCTGATGGGGAGGAACATAAAGAAATAAAATGGAGCTTACATGGATAAAGTTATGCGCGAAAAAGGGCCAGAACGCCGAGTGAAAGCTAACATCAACTTTCTTCCACCCCAACTGTTGCAAGCCACATATCATTTCCTCTGTTCGAAAAGAGTAGTGAGATTTTAGCTTGCTGTAGAAGCTATATAGTAGCATTGAGATTCATTTGAAACTAGCAGAAACATCTCTCTTAGTACTATTACCTTCCATACTTTCATGATATTCTAATGTACTTTGCGTGCTTGCTGCATTTTGAGCTTCCTCCTTTGCTTTGGCTGCCTCGAGGGGGTAATGGGGTCCTTCACATGAAGCTGGAGGACAGTATTCCACATCTACTACATGTTTGTAGCCATCCAACGATCGCCAAGGGGGCTGCCAATTCTAACAAAATTGTCGCATCATGAACTCCTAAAAAACTCTGTTTCCGGAAGATCGCAAACTTTTCAGAGTTATACAGCTACTATCTTGCTAATGTTTACGATTTCACATGTGTAACACCCCAGACTCTAGACAGAGTCCCACATCGGCAAAACACAAGAGAGATGTTGGGTGTATAAGTTAACAAGCCTTAGACCCTAGTGACGCGTTTTAAACCCGTGAGGACCTAGGCCCAGAGTGGACAATATCACTAGCGGGCTGGGCTGTTACAGATGGTATCAGAGTCACTCTTGTGTCAGGCTTGCCGATGGTGGGTCAGAGTTCAACTGAGTTAGGCAAATCCCGGTTAGGCGGGGCAAACCTCAGTGCTGAGTCTAGGCGAATTCCATGCGGTAGGGCAAACCTCAGCGAGGATGCTGAGTCCATAAGAATATCACTAGCGAACTGGGCTGTTACAACATGATACCATGTTTTTATGCGTATTATATTCATCTAACTATGAGAATCAAAGGCAAATGTACATACTTAGACACGAAGACTCATAAGACACACGCAGCCATGCAATGAGCATAGTGCGAACTATTCATTCCCCTTTTACTAAAGAAAAATATAAACCAATTTTAGGAGGGTTTTCTCATTTAGAGAACGGAGAAAAAAGACTAATTAGACATGGAGTAAACCAGGTCTACAGTCATAATTTGCAGTGCCAGTGGAGAACTGAACATCTCTCTCTGTGGGAAGAACAATTGCATCCCATCCCATCCCCTCGCCCGACAATAGGCTACTACACTATACCTTTTTCCGGGGCTTAAACAGTAATGAAGATAATTCTACTTTCCGTCCACAGTAGATCCATTCTTTAGTCCGGGAAATACAGTAACTCACCATTAAATGATCATATCTTCTCTACAAAATTAGCAAATAATTCTTACTTGAAATAGCGCGACTTTGAAATATCAAATTTCCCATATAAGGAAATAGCCGCCCTTGATTTGCTTGTTGTATGCAAGTGAAGGTCTAAAACTTGTAGCTGTTTTTAATTCAAATTTCAGTATACCAAACATATCAAGGGTTTTTCGTTTCAAGGGAAGATGCAAATGAAGTGTAAAATAATTTTACCAAGTCTTAATCCCCTAACAAGAAAAAATTATATAGAAAAAAAGTGTTATCATAGATTGAGAGATTATTACCTACCCATCATGTGCATATGCGTTTAAGTTTTAGAATAAATTAATTCATGAATTGCTTGAATCCTGGCTTTTTCAAATTCAAATCCTGTATCACAGCTGCCAGAGGCGCATCTAGGATTTTAATGACATGGGTGCACCACTAAAAAAAGGAGAAAAAAAGAAGTATAAGTGGGATTTGATCCCTAATCCACTAGGTAAATAACTTAACATTCAACCAAGTGCACCATTTAGCTTCTTTGGAGCATGGGTGCCAGCAGATAATACTAGACCAATTCCAAAAGATATGTACATAAAATACCTAGTTTGACGGAAAGACCATGAGTTCACGTGCCCCGTGTAAATGCCTACAAATCCGCCTCTGACAGCTGCCACAGGGGAACTCACAATGATAGCACTTTGAAAGTAATGAAACCAAAAGACTAACTCGATGCTGCATTTCTCCATTCTAAAGCAGCTGGGTTAACTCTTTATCACTGAGATTTGAAATGCAATTACTGGATTCAGAGTCAAATGTACTAATCATTAGACCATGGAACTTACTGGTCACTTACTGGCAGATTGAACGTCAGATCTGAACTCTTGAGTAACTATTGCTTACCTAAACCATTTATAATTGTATGTCCTTTTCTGTCTTTATCTTGACTAAATGCTAACGTTCACAATGCTATAGTTATGGCAACAAATGATAACAATGATTTGTAAATCTCAAATCACCTTAACGAGCTCTGTCTCCCTCCTTATAGATGATGTACGCCAACCGACCATATCTAGATAATGTCAAGAAATTGAGAGAAAAAGCACTGGAATGAACTCTATCAATGAATTATGTTTTGCTAATTAAATGAAGAAACAGCAAATGAGATGCAAAGGATACGATCATAAGAGACATTAGCATATAGAACACGACATTTGAAAGCACCAAGCGCTGATCTGCAAGAATGAAAACGCAGGCATAAGAGTAAAAAGAGAATGGCGCAGGAGAAACAGCTGCTTCAAGGACTGGTAGGGATAATTATACTCACATAAATTTTCCATCATCACAGTCTGATGCCATCCTTAGCAGCAGAGGTGGTTTAGTAGGTTGGCCATCAGTAAGGAAGAGCTGACTACCAGTTTGACCAACAAAAATAGGAGCCATAGGTGCTGCAATTTTCTCCAAGATTGGCAACCCGAAGAGAAAAGGAAGCTGAAAAATAAAAGCTAATCAACTGTCCTGATGTCAGGAGCCATTACAAAGTAATCACAACACTATTTTTCTGGATAAGCTACTAATAACAACATACTGTTCAAATTCTGAGAGACAGTATCAAAGATTATGATTTAAACTAAAGACTTGATGATTTGTTTGACCCAACATTAACGTTGCAAATTAATATCCTCCTAAATGTAAGTTAATATGACATCAAGTTAATATCCTCCTGGACGCTTCAGGTTTGTTGACACACAACTTATTGAAGGCTTGGCAAGGCATTTTCTTTTCTGTTATACTATGTGGCTTGATGTCTAGTTAATGATCGTGGTATGCAGTATACCACAATGATTATCTGTACATAATCTTTGTCTTGCGTAATAAAAGGCAAAAATATTCCTGGCATTTGCTTTAGTGAAATAGGATGTTTCATGGTTCCTTTTCTTTACTTGTAAATACTGATTAACACTTGTATAATTTTCTGAGTAAATAGGTACTGACACAGTCTTTCCCATTTAATATGAAACAATTCAGATTTTTGACTCATGCTTAAAGTGGTGCTGTTAAAGTAATGAATATTTTAAGACACAGTAAGTACAGACATAGTCATAAAGTAATGAAGAATTCAGAAAAATCTAATTCAAATGTCTTAAAGTTTTCTGCTTTAAAAAAGCTAAAAGCTAGTTTCTATTCCGCAAACACTTACTAGTCCACTAAAGTTTCAAAATTTTCCAGGTAGAGGCTTCATAACGAGATTTACAATTAAAAGCATGAATATAGGATATATGCTTATCATTCTCAAAAATTATAGAATATATGCATAAAATACATGAAAACAACTGAAATCCCTATGAAAGAAATTGTAATGGACACAATCTAGCAACTTCGTGAAGGACAAAAATATTGAGATAAGAATCAATCATGGATCACTGATCAGATTGTACCATGAGAACAGACCTGATTTTTCCCTCTCACACCCAGATGTGGTGTTGCCAAGGTAATAAAATTGACTGGCTCCAGGCCAGCAATCAAACCTTCATTTAAGGAGCCTACTGGTTTGAGGTTTGCATTAGTTGAAGTGACTGTATCATCGGTCTGCTCACTACCATTTGATGAATAAAGTGCGGCAACTGCATATCTTGCAATCAATCCACCAAGAGAATGAGCTAAAAAGGATATCTTCTTTAGGCTTTCTCTTTTGTTCACAACCAGCCTAACCTGTTTATTATCAGATATACCAAACAGGAAAGGATGAGCATTCATAGTTTCACACTGGAAGCACAAGCCATGTATTGGAGACTTGAAAAGGCACGGGTTCAAGAGGGTTATGTTTTGATGTCAGAAATGAGTGGCTGGAAACTATTTGACCATTACATTGTTTACATAATTGAAGTTTCTGAGACGAATACTGAGTGCAGATTGAAACAACTAGCTTTTGGAGACAATTTTTATTTAAGCAGTGAAGGCAATATGCTTATGAAGTAAAGGTATATCGAGGCCAACTTTACCAGTTTGATTGCAGTGATTCAGGTAAAATAAAAAAAGAAAAAACCCAGCTATTGTTAGTGCATTTTAGACAATTTAAAAAATCTAGATCTGATGCACTGATGGAAGGACATTTATCAGCAAATATTGTACTACACTACAAATTTTATTCACTTTCCGCAGAATAGCCAGAGTACATTGACCCTTTGTTTCTTATACAGCAAGTACCAGCATAGGATACTACTTATCAGGGATCTCTTGCTTTGGGTATTGTATAGCTAACCAAAAACCACTGGCAAAGCTATATAGTACTAATATAGTGTCTCTTGTTAACTCTTTGAGCCGAGGGTCTCCTGGAAACAGCCTCTCTGCCCCTCGGGTAGAGGTAAGGTCTGCGTACATATTACCCTCCCCAGACCCCACTTGTGGGATTACACTGGGTTGTTGTTGTTGTTGTAAAGCTAAACTACACAAGTAAACAGCAAGTACCAGCAAAGGGACCATACTCACTTCATCTGCTAGTCGTTCTCCAGCTCCATCAATCCCTGTGAAGGTTTTAGTATACGTATTACATGAACTTGCTGCGCACGACGAAAGACAAAGTCAGATAGCATACACAAACCAATCAAAAAGGACTTTCAGATTTTGTTGAATACCATCCCGTATTTAGATATATGTAAGATTCAAGATTTAAAAAAAAAAAAAATGAGAAGATAAAAGATTAAAAGATTGAGATCCCAATTGTATCAGTTATTTGATAATTATAATACAAATCGTAGTATTTGGGTAGTAAGATATGGAGCTTCATGCAGTAACAAGTATAAGTTTCAAATTCTGATAAGATAAGGGATTAAAAGAAGGAACAAGGAAATGGAATTTAACAAAACCTTCCCGTATTCCTCTTGCACTCAAATTAGACATTGTACTTGCAGTTTATTTCATTGATTGCAGTAGCTAGCCATTCAAATAGCTGATCATTAGTAGACTTTAATATACGCTGATACTTCACTTTCACGTAATCAACAGTATAGCATATGATTGAAGTAAGAGCGTATTGTTACTTTGCTTCTTGGTGTAGTCGAAATTGAAGCAAGAAAAGACCTAGAAAACTAAAAAAAAATACATGAAAATATGACAAGCTCCACTAAAAATTATACCATATATCAAAAAGTTTCTTCCCAACCGCCTCCTCAACTCTGCTTGAACATACGTCCAGTCACCCGGGCTGCATTGTTTGGAAATCTCAGTGATACAAACAGAAGCATGCTAATTTTCAGAAATATATTTTTGATCTATGGATGATATCAGCATATATTTGGGGTTGAGGCGTAGTTAATTGACTGATATGGGTGATATCAGCACTTAAGACCATGCCCATTACACATATATCAAACGAAACATACTTGACAACCAAATCTTGGATTATGAGGTAAATCATCACCTCAGGAACATGAAAGAAAGTTCAACTGAGGAACATAAAAGTAATATACAAACAGATATAGATATGTATGTGACCAGGACAAATGCAAGATCGAGTTTCATACTCCTGGGGAAACAAAAAACTTCCAACCAAATTTATAATGCGCGTTGAAAGTGAGAATGTAAGAAAACTTTAAACCCAATTCCGGATAGCACTACCACGAGAACATAATATTTGAACAAAGAATATTCTAATCACCATTCATCTTGTGTACAGAGAAGGAGAATATAAACTAATTCTAAACACACACACACACATACATTATATAATTTGTAGACACGGAGGCATCCTTAAAGGGGGAGTAAACAAAGTCGCCAACCTTGCTAAGATGCCATGAACAAGGACTAGAAGATGCTCAGGTTCTTCCTCCATGTCCATCAAGCCTTTCGGTGACACAATACTTCCTTCAGTTGTACTCATCGCATGGGCTTTATAGCTTTGACTTCTCAAGATGTTGTTTATCCCTGCAGAAGGGGCAGACAACCTCCTCAGAGGAATGATTTGCAAAGAAAGAAAAGATCCAAAGATGCCAAGACATTTGAAGTGTAAAAATAATAAGGATTTTGCGAGAGAGCACAAGAAACTATGTCCTAACTCAGATATACTACATGGCTTTTCAGAATTCACGAAGCAGTTGCCTGAAACCAGAGGAGACAATAGCTGCACAACTAAGAACACCACAAGAGCATAAATAATATAACACCTATTAATATCATTTCCAACTGCACAATCCACCAGGAGAAGGGGTCTATGGTTCTAGCCTGGCCGATAAGCATAGAACAAACAATTTTGATTTGCCTAAAAAGCAGACTTCAGTCTAAGAGTTGGTGATAAAATGATAACCTCAAAGGAGAACAGAAATAACCAAGTCTTTTAGAGCAGTTTCAAACCTTTAGTATACTGTATATGCCTATATGTAAGAAAAAGCAATTAAAATTGCAACTTTAAGTAAGGGATTGGGTAGAAACAAGTTGCAGCATTCATCAGCATAAGCACAAGTAATATGGCATTGACTAATGAAGACCCTTACTAGTTGAATTAGACAATAGCATAATCGCTATGCACTGACCAATGTTTCAAAAGGTAAAAGTTAATATTTAAATGAGACTCACTAAGGGTGAGGCAGCTTCTATACTTCTCAAGGCAACCGACAAGTGAGGCACTAGCCCCATGCGCACTTTACACCTTGAGTTGTTCGGCCCGTGCATGCCTTACTCTTTGTAAATGGCCATCTTCTCCTTCATTCCTTTCCACACACTTGTACCATCAGACAACATTACTTCCTAATGAACTACCGATATCGGTTGCCATTGCACTTATGACTCTCTTCCACATAGCTCCCCTTTTGTTGGCAAACCTCCTTAACAATTTCCCTACAATGATCTATTTAAGGTTTCATGCATTCGAAGTTCCGAACCCCCACTCTCAATGGGGTTCGTAGTCCTCTCCCTCCCTTTCACACCATCCCATAGAAAATTCCTCATTAATTTCTCCAATCTCTTACTAACTGAAATAAAGTTAATAAGGACATGAAGTAGACTGGTATTTGATAATGTCACCTTTATCAACATGATCCTACCCCCTTTGACAAGGAAGAACTTGGAGATTTATGCGGAATTAAATATACCTTCTTCTAGGATCCTAGAAGAAGGTAGTTTTAATTCTGCATAACTCTCCAAGTTCTTCCTTCAGGTATATTGGATCAAACACGAATTGGACAATCACCTCATTAGGTATCTTGTATTTCTGGATAATCATATTCAAACAACGACCACAGTAAGAAAATGGCATGCACTGTTAAAGTTGCACTATACTTGCTATAGTGCCAAACAAGTTCCAGGGAGGACCTGCTGAGCAACAAAAATTTAGACACACATAAAGCCAGTTTTATGCTGATCTCTACCGCTAGTAAACCAACTAAATGTGCAGGCCAAGGTTCTCTTTCCTTAGAAGAAAGAAACTACTTTAAATACCACTTCTCTGGCATATTTCTAGCAACTGAAGTGCTCCAGAAAAAAAACACTAACGAGGATGCTAAATCCAAATGATAAGGGAAACAAATGGCGTAAGTTGTTTTTGCTACTTTGTTTCAGTAAAAATTGATCCACACCTGTCCAGCTACATATTTACTACCTACTCTTGCACTGTACTTTGAGATAGAAAGTTATATAAAAGTACGTCAAAGCAAGGGTTTAATTTGTATTTAGCATTTCTACTTCATCTGTATTTTCATTAGCTCTCAGTATTCAACCAACAATCCAAATAAGGGAAACACCCATCAATTAATCTACTAAAGATACAAAATTTGGCATAAATTTCAATTCAACAGACAAAGATCAAATTTTGATCAATTGCAAGCTCAAAGGAAAAACCCATCTACCAGAGAAAACAAAAGACAAGAAATATTACCAGAAAAGCTGAGGAATTTCCAATTGAACCCTCGGCGTTGATCAAAGGATGAAGAAGATGACGAACAAGAAGGAGAAGATGAACAGGAATTGCAAGACAAAGAAGGGCGGGGAGAATAGTGATGAACTAATGTAGCTGATAACGCCATATATATTGCAACAAAGTCTAGAGAGAGGGGAAAAGGACCAATTGGAAATCTCTCTTTCTTGCTTTTTCCGTGCAATTCGCTATGCACAGTGCGTTATGTCAGCATCAGGAGAGCAACAACACCCACCCATTTCTCTTTCTTTTTTTCATTTGATTAATATCCTCTGCTTTCACCCCCCTATACATGTCGATATTTATTATACAATTGAAATATACAGCATTATTGGAAGATTCTGCTGGTTCCATATCTTTGGGAAAATGTTAAAGGGGACAATTTAATTGACGTTTTGCTAATTCCATTTTTGAGGAGTTTTGTTTCTTTTCTTGGAAGAGTGCATAATTGTGCAGTACAAGACAAGAGGGAACACCTGTCCTTTGTGATTGTAACCACAGCGCTGGAGACTGGAGTATAAGCAAGAAGAACCAGTAATCTTCATTTTATCACAAAATTACAGGCTAATACTTGGTAAAAGTTTTAAGTAATTAGATATATAGGATTATAAAAATATGTGTGCACCTCATAAAAGAAGTTAGTAGAAATTGATCTCTTTTTTTTTTTTTGGGTAAATAATTTAACATTTAGCCTTTTTAATATATTCATAAAATAGCTAATTTGAAAGAAAAAAAAGATCATGGGTTCACGTAATATAGGCCTAAATCAGCCCTCCAGTGTTGACCGGTCCAAGTATTTTGATAATAGGTGATAAGTGAGATTTAAGAATATTTATTTAAAAGTTAGAAATCACATGTTTTTATTTACTTATTGATTAGTCAATTACCATTCTTATTTATGCAGCAACCACAAGAAAATATTTTTTCTATGAAGGGTGGCGGCAGAGACTTGTCATTGTTAACCCAAATGACCACTTTGTCTAACCGTTTAAATTAAAATTTAATTGCAAATAGTGTATCCAGACAACTATTTATGTAAAGATCCTATTATGGGAGTGATAGTCTCATATTAAGGTCTTAACAGTCCTCATTAAACACATGAACCCGAAAGTTGGGTTACATATGCGGAAGAATGGAGAGTCATATATCTATATGGATTGTATTATGACTTTTAAAAGACCTTAAGATGGTCTGAGATATTACACTTATTAATTTAAACTTTTACAGCACATATGTATAGTGACTAGTGATCATATATAAACCACAAGAAATATATCGTGTATACAAGATTTAGAGCCCGTTTGGATTAGCTAATTTGAAGTAGCTCATAAGTATTAGGTGTTGAAAAGCATTTTTAAGTGTTGAAACTGATTTAATAAATAAGCAGTTACCTATTTGGATACAAGTTCTGAAATTGATTATAAGCTACTGCAGTATTTGATAAAAAAGTGTTGATAAGCTCGTTTTCTGTTAAAATGACTTAAATAACCTTAGAACTATTTACACTTATGAGGGCGTAATTTCTTCAAAATTTTAGATTCCAGATCTATTCAAATACAAAATATTCTATTTATCATTTTAGTTTAAATACAACTGTGTTTAGATAAGATAACTTTTATGATAAATATAATTTATTTTATGATAAGCATATAATCATAAGTTATGATAATTAATAAATTGACAAAGGTGTTTTAGTAAAAAATAAACCTAAATAGGACAAAATATTTGAAGAAAAACAAACACTGTCTTCATCACCACAACACTTAAAAAACAATACACCAAAAATTTGATATGTCCTCATTTATTACGCATAGCTCAAAGATTAATACACAATCACATAGATATAAATATGCAAAGGAATAAAGAATTTGCTTACCTTAAATAGTCAATGAGAATTGCAGACTTGAAGAGGACGGGGAGGAGGGGGGTTGAAATAATACTTGAGTCAGTGAGTATCAATGTAAGAGTTTTGTTCTAAAAAAAATATTTTAAGGATAAAATAGTAAAAATTTTAATTTGGTCAAACTTAAAGTGCTTATAAGCTAAAAATTGATAAGCTGGGGTTGACCAGCTTATGGCTTTTGACTTATTTTTGACTTATAAGTATTTGGCTTATAAACACTTTTAATTATACCAAATACGTAGATAAGCCGAAAAGTGTTTATAAGCTAGTTTGGCCAGCTTATAAGCTTAACCAAACACCCTCTTAGTTGTCACATTGATCACCTGTTTATTTCAAAATCACAAGAATGGCAACAAAAGAAAGATCCAGGCAATGTTTTCCATACAGCTATAAACGGCATACCTTCAAAGAAAAATATATTTCTTTACATAAACTCCACTTCTGAGGAACTAATTACTCGTAATAATTTAAGCAAAGGATGTCTTATTCGAGTGTTGCTTAGACTTGAAGTAGGTTTACTTACTTCCAACCTAGGTATATCTTGACTCGATTAATATGAAACTCTGGAAAAGTTGAAATTTTAATATGTTACCCACTCTCAGCCCCATTATATTTGTTAACACTATATCTGTTATTAACCATCTATGTTCAGAAGTTACACATAAAAAAGATATTTATAAGTTATGATTTGCCTCATAATAACAACATGACAAAATCGCTCCTAAAAGTGAAAATGAGGAATTGGAAAGTAAAAATTGAGAAAGTAAAATTAAATGTGATCTTATCATATGTGTGTGTTTTGGTTTTTGCTTTACATATATGTACATAAAATTCAAGCCGAAAGCAACGAATTCAACCAAAAGAATGCAATATTTTACCACGTGGAGGTAGAAGAAGACCTCGAGAATGAAATTTGCGAAATTGCAAATGTCGAATTGTCCGACGAATCAAGAAGTGTTACTCTCACTAACAAGAATGGCATTCCTGGAAACTTACGTAAACGCAATGCCCTCTATTTCTTGGCCGCAAAAACCTCACCAAAGTGTAAACAAGAATTCAAGGATATGCAAGTATATATATCCCCGAACTGAAATATATCAAGTGTACGTCATTGCTGAAGATTTAATTTGTGGATTAGTTGAATAAGAAGACAAGTCCTACAGTTTGTTGTCATTTTTTTTGAGAAAACAATAAAAATGGTCCCTTATTTTGGTTAGGTTGTGAATAGTGTATAGGGTAAAATATGATATGGCACGTGGTCATCTAAAGGAAGGACACAGTGGAACCCGAGATGGGGATGCCAAAGACAGAACACAGCTATTTCACTTGTCATCGGAAGGGATAACGTTCATAAAGATGTGTTAAATGCGTCACACCCAGTAGCATTTAATAAAGAATATTCCGCGGCATTAAGAGCGACATCACGTTATAGGAAATTTGGCATTTATATCTACCATTTGTCGCGCCCCCTTTTTCTCGCGAAATCGGGTTTATGACATTTGGGAGGACAACTCGTTCCCTTTTAGGAATTGGGTTTGAATTGAAGAGTCGCCACCTAATGATTTGAGTGCATAGGACACTAAGGAAGGTTCGATTTGAACAACCAGAGATTGGGTAAGGGCTTGAAATTATCCCAAGAAGAAGGTGTTAGGCACCCCTCAGGATCCACTAGTGTGGTTCCCGGCTAAGCTATTGTTGTGACTTAAGTGCAAAAAACACATAGGCAAATAAAGACTTCAAATAAGAGGGGATTTTCACGTAATGATTGCAAGAAAAATGAACTAAAAGGAGTTGATTTTCTTAAAAGAAATGGTTAAAAAGAGATTTAAGAGAAACGAAGAGAACAAAGGGAAGGGAGGTCCTAGGTTTATTAATAATATGGATCACCCACACAACACCCGGTAATCACTCCTCAATGAGGGGCTACACGAGATGTTATCGCGTGGTCATCATATCTATATCTACCATTTTCCATCCCGTTGAGGTATTAAAGCGCGGAATGGTCTCGTTTACTTATTGCATGATATTACCCGCCCCAATCTTATTAGTCCCGGAGGCATTTAGGACTACTAATCATAAAGGGGAGGGGTATTGGGCTTATTTGTGGTTTCAAAAGGTAAAAATACTAAGGTGACAAACAAAACATATATGGAAAGTATGGGGAAGCATATAAACAAATGAAAAGGCTCAAACAGACCTCATTTAAGCAGAGAAAAGCAAGTAGTTAGCATGACTTACACGTACTATTTAGGGTCTGATTAAACTTAAAGGATCGAGGCAGACTGTTCTATTACATAGTTCAGATAAGAAGCCCGAGTCAAGTCTGCCTGCTGGTTGTAGCATATAAAATCTGCTTCAGTTTATAAACTGTCCTATGACTTGTCTAAGTGTTAGAAAAAAACCCTATAGGCATGATATCTACTGATTCTAGAAACAATGAAGTAAACATGAATACCTACTGATTAAAAAAATCATTTGTTATTAAAGAAAGGCGAGTTTTAGCAAAATAGCACAAGTTGTTGTGACTGGTTTTAGACTCATAAGCGAGTGAAGAGATTCAAATTTGTTTAAAGCTCCTATAGGCATGCTTTCTATGTGTTTTTGATTTTGGACACTTTTATAAACATAGTAAAAAATGCAAAAATCCTATAGGCATGACATCTAAATGTTGAACTTCGTTTAAGCCTATGAACATGATATCTAAATGCAGTTAGTTATTTAAGTCCTATAAACAGGTTTGCCTAGTGACAAATGCATATGCAGGATTCAGATTTCCAGTTAACTATGAGCATGGTGTCTATATGAGAGATGCAGAAATTTAATTATAGGCAGGATATCCATATGAATGCAGAATTTCAGAAACCTATAGGCAGGATATCTATATAGGTGCAGAATTCCTTATGGACATGGTATCTATACATGGGAATGCAGAAATCCTTATAGACATGGTATTTATATGAGAATGCAGAAATTCTTATAGACATGGTATATTTATGAGAATGCAAGATTCCTATAGACATGATATCTATATGAGAATGCAGAAATCCATAAACTCCTATAGGCAGGTTATCTACCCCTTTTTTGCATACATAATTAACCCTCCCTTTTCACTAACCATCCCTGAGAGTTTTATTACAAAGTTATTACAACCCAGAAAAGTAAAGTAAGGAAAATACATCAGAAATTAGAAAGTACAACCAAGGAGAGTCAGATTCAAACTTCCTATCTGAAGTATGAAGTAAACCAACTCCAAGAGGTCATATTTCAAAGCCTTCTCCCATTTGGGGTGTGTCAGAGTTCCCTAAGAGTTCCATATGAACTCCGGACAGTGCTTACACCCAAATGTATCACGGATTAAGCCATAGTGCAATATGGAAGGGCCAGCCCTCAGGTGTCCAAGTTCAGAGGGAACTCAAGGTCCCAAGGCAAGGCTCACAAGAGGGGGGCAGAACTTAAGGATTAAGAGAGAGTGCAAGTGCAGAAGTGAAATTCTGAAAGGGGAAAGGGAAAAAGGAATAACTTAAAATCAGTGCACATAGGGGTATAGGGGAGTGG